AAAGTAATAAAACAATCATTTCATTCGAGTTAAATTTGACTTGAATTTAGTGCGGTGTAATAAAACTTTTCCACAATTAAATAACGTTCTCTAAATGACGAGTGAATCTCGTTTAACCAAGCTTTAAACCGAATGACCGCCGGTGTTATTAATGTTCAAAGGGAATTTAGGAGACAACGCGATGGTTAAAATTAAAGTTTTGAAATAAGCGTTAAAAGAGTTTTCCCGGCGAAAAGAAACTTTTCTCCGAAAAAGTTTCACCCCAAAATTAAACATACGTCGTCGAAGAAAAAAACTCCCGATTGTTTACACGTCGAAAACTTCTTCGGGTTCGTCTCGAGCTTTTAGTTCATAATCTTGCTGACATGGCGTAGATTAATCACCCAAGAAGTAAACTTTTTGGATTTTTTTGTTTTAATTTTTATTTTCTTGATTTTTCCTTATTTTTTTTTTCTTTTTTTCTTTCGTTTTCGTTGACTTTTTTTTCTTACTTGTAAAAGTTTCGTTCCGGTTGAAAGTTACGCCGTAATACAACCGGAGCGGTGACATCTGCCCGGAAGAACCGAATTTCAACTTTTATTAGGTGTATTTGTTTAAATTGCCTTCTCCTCTTCGTTTCCCCCCACTTTTGCAGTTTCCATTTTCTTCGCAGATTATGTATCCTTCGGAAATCTTGGACGTGACTAGGAATCGTAACATCTTTCGGTCTTTTCAAGCGTCGTCGATCTCAACTAAATTTCATCACGTAATTTTTTGAGTTTCTTCGTAAATGATGATTTTTTGATTGTTGTAATTAATTTTTTCGAGAGGTTATATATGGGGATTGGTGAGAATAGGGAAATTTGTGGCGCGGAGTGAAATATGGTTTCTATGTAGATTCTCTAGGGAGCTTCCTTAAGAAGACGTAGTGGTGGTTGCTGAAGCTTGGGACTAATGGACCACGGTTCCGGCCACAACCGGCTGTGATTTAACGTCGGTAATTGGCGCAATAGACCGGCGCGCCATTCAAATTGCAAACCTCTAACGATGCCAGTTCCTCCAACTACAATCGCGGATTTCAACCGGATTTGGATATAACTTGTTTCACGTGTATGTGACTGTCTGTTCGGATTCAACGAGTTAAATTACAGTTTTCAGTTCTAAAAAGTAAAATTCCAACTTCTATTGTCAATTTATTTCAATTACAAATGGAACCAATGGGAATTAATTTAGCCTTTATGGTGATTACAGTGGATTTATCCGACGTATTAACTGTTATTAAATCATCCGCTTTGACTCATCTCTTTTAGAAGTTTTTGTGTGGTGAATATTGTGTTGAAGAGAAAGTGCTTGTGCATCCATGTAATCTACCAAAGTTATATACCACTGTATAGAGCGGAAAATTTCTTATGGATTTGATATGGTCTTGGAGTTTTGTCCATATCATATAAGAAAGTTATGACGCCGTGAACATTTACATACTATAATTATACGCGGTTTCTGCATTATTTGGGGGAAACTGCTTGTGCAACCATGCGATCTACTAATGTTATATACCACTGTATAGAGCGGAAAATTTCCTATGGATTTGATATGATCTTGGAGTTTTGTCCATATCATATAAGAAAGTTATGACGCCGTGAACATTTACATACTATAATTATACGCGGTTTCTGCATTATTTGGGGGAAACTGCTTGTGCAACCATGCGATCTACTAATGTTATGTACCACTGCATAGAGCGGAAAATTTCCTATGGATATGATATGATCTTGGAGTTTTGTCTGTATCATATAAGAAAGTTATGACATAGTAAACATTTACATACAGTAATTATACGCGAATATTGTTGCTTTTGGGGGGGGAACGGTAGCGCAACCATGCCATCTACAAAAGTTATATACCACTGTATAGAGCGGAAAATTTCCTATGGATTTGATATGATCTTGGAGTTTTGTCCATATTATACAGGGTGCGGCAGAGAGGACGGACTGTTTTAAAAAAATCATAAAATCGTTAATTTTTACTCAAAAACAAATTTATTGATGGAATCAGGTTCGCAAGGAAATAGCATTTGAGACAGTCAAATGTGGAAAATCACATCAGTCATGTGGTGGCCGAAATCGGTGATGCAGTGCTGGAGGCGTTCTCGGAAGTTCGCGTAGGCTCTCTCCAACATCGCTCTCTCAACTTGGGCGACTTCCACGCTAATTGCCTCCTTCAATTCGTCCAGAGTTCGGGGCTTGTTCTCGTATACTCTAGCCTTGAGGTGTCCCTATAAGAAAAAATCGCATAAGGATAAATCTGGGGAGCGAGGAGGCCAATGAACATCGCCAAACCTGGAAATAACGCGACCAGGGAAGAGAGAGCGAATAACGTCAATTGATGCTCTGGCTGTGTGGGCGGTCGCCCCATCCTTTTAGAACCACACACGTCGGATTGGAACACGTCGCCGTCGTAATTCATGGAAAAAGAAGGTGTGATCATTTCGACGTAGCGCTCTGAGTTCACGGTAACAGCACTACCATTTCCGTCTTCGAAGAAGTAAGGGCCAATGATGCGCATATAACTTTTGGGCTGTGCAGCGGTCTTTCGTGTAACTGTTGCGGATTTTCATTAGCCCAATAACGGCAATTCTGCTGGTTAACCATGCCGTTAAGGTGAAAGTGGGCTTTGTCACTCATGAATAAAATGAGGTTCCCATTTTGATCGATCAGTGCTTCCATCTCACGTGCGAAGTTCATTCGTTGTGCATAATCTCCGGGCTGTAACTTTTGCACAATGGCCAATTTGTAGGGGTGAAAGCGGAGATCCATGGAGAGATGGTGTTTTGAGAGGGAACAGCTCTATTCCGATTAATGTTGAAGTGGCGACGAAACTCACGCTGTACGACCGTGACTGACTCATTATTTCGGATGAAACTATCATAGGTGAAAACGCGGTGCTCTACCGTCCAAGGCTCCATGGCGTCAACTGGTAAAAAATGCTAGGAACTCACGTGTCAAACGGCACCCCCCCCACCTCCCTCGTCCTAAGAGGGGGAGAGTACTACCCATCTCAAAAACGTCCGTCCTCTCTGCCACACCCTGTATAAGAAAGTTATAACGCCGTAAGCATTTACATACTATAACTATACGCGGTTTCTGCAGTTTTTGGGGGAACCTGCTTGTGCAACCATGCGATCTACTAATGTCATATACCACTGTATAGAGCGGAAAATTTCCTATGGATATGATATGGTCTTGGGGTTTTGTCCATATCATATAAGAAAGGTATGACGCCGTGAACATTTACATACTATAATTATACGCGGTTTCTGCATTATTTGGGGGAAACTGCTTGTGCAACCATGCGATCTACTAATGTTATATACCACTGTATAGAGCGGAAAATTTCCTATGGATTTGATATGATCTTGGAGTTTTGTCCATATCATATAAGAAAGTTATGACATCGTAAACATTTACATTCAGTAATTATATACGAATATTGTTGCTTTTGGAGGGGAAATGGTAACGCAAGCATGAGATCTACTAAGGTTATATACCACTGTATAGACCGGAAAATTTCCTATGGATTTGATATAATTTTGGAGTTTTGTCTGTATCATATAACAAAGTTATGGCATCGTATACATTTACATACAGTAATTATATGCGAATATTGTTGCTTTTGGGGGAGAAATGGTAGCGCAACCATGCGATCTACTATAGTTATATACCACTGTATAGAGCAGAAAATTTCCTATGAATTTAATATGATCTTGGAGTTTTGTCCATATCATATAAGAAAGTTATGACGCCGTGAACATTTACATACTATAATTATACGCGGTTTCTGCATTATTTGGGGGAAACTGCTTGTGCAACCATGCGATCTACTAAAGATATATACCACTGTATAGAGCGGAAAATTTCCTATGGATTTAATATGATCTTGGAGTTTTGTTCATATCATATAAAAAAGTTATGACATAGTAAACATTTACATACAGTAATTATACGCGAATATTGTTGCTTTTGGGGGGGGAAACGGTAGCGCAACCATGCGATCTACTAAAGTTATATACCACTGTATAGAGCGGAAAATTTCCTATGGATTTGATATGATCTTGGAGTTTTGTCTTTATCATATAAGAAAGTTATGACATCGTAAACATTTACATTCTATAATTATACGCGGTTCTTGCAGTTTTTGGGGAAACTGTTTATGCAACCATGCGATCTACTAACGTTATATTCCACTGTATAGAGCGGAAAATTTCCGATAGAATCTCTATGATTTCCGAGTTTTTTCCATATCATATAAGAAAGTTACGACACCGTAACCATTTACTATTGAAGTGTAGCGTTGTTTATTAAGCCTGTTTTTTAGCCGGTGCCGATAGATATTGACCAGACAAGACCTAGATTTAGATAGCTTAAAATGTGTTTATTACAAATTGATAAAGCTTCTTTATAAATTCGGTTCCATAACGGCTGCACATGGGCTTAAATTTCGAAAATGTTGTGGTATATTCGATACATTTATTTTTTTCAGATGGTTTCGTATGAAGAAAATCTGCGCGTTAATTTGAACTTATGATTCAAATATATTAAACAAAAATCTAAATGAAAATACTTTTGATTAAATTATTTCGCTTTGAATTAGTTATACAAATCCCCCTTGCCCTTATACACATACATATAAAGCTCTCTCTATCGATTTTACTTTGTCCCGTTGTATAGAACTCTCTAAGGGATACAGTCCACTCTAGTTAACTGCAGTTCCATCCCTGTTTTTGGGTAGTTATGTACAGTCTGGAACAAAATTGTCCCTTTTTCGTAAATCAGGCTGAAAAGAACATTTTATACCCTCGAAAGTAGATAGATCGAGATAGTGGAACTTATCCCAAAAGTTTTCTTATTTAATCCAATCATGAACTTCCTATTTCCTAATATTACTTACTTAAATTTTACTCCATTCAATCTTACTCTCTTAAAGCAAACTTGATTCATTAATTTTATTTGTCCTTGTTGTAGGTCGAAATACAAGAACGACCCAATCAAAAGTCTCTATTGTTGGGGATTTGAATCACGGTGAGTATAGATTTTTAGAAAGATTTTTAAAAAGAATTTTTTCTTGGGGTTGGTTTTGAAAAGGATCGTTGATAGACGCAAATATTTGCTGCTGCCGTTCATCCAAATAATAATAAAAAAGAGAAAGGGGCGAATAATGGAGCGCCAAGGACGGTTTTCCTTTTCAAGGGGTTAGTATAAAGTGGAAGAAAATTCGGCACTTTTCTCTCGGCCGACGATGCAGCAGCTAAGTGGGTGAATACATGAATGAGAAGTGGCATTTTCGTCCGATATCCGAAATGAATTTTAATGCACAATTCTTGTTTTCTAGCACAATCAATCGACGCCTCAATTTTTTTTACGTTATTATTGTTATTGCTTGTTTATATGTATATCAACCATATGTTGATCATTAGGAATTTCCCATTCAATATAAATTATGCACAGATTCTCATCGGGAACGGGTAATACCGCGTAATTTTACAAAACCAATTGTCATGTTTATACCCGGATCCGACTCGGTTGAATTATTAAGCGATTTGCAGGTTGTGAAAAACATCCATTAGCATTCGTCCGTCAGCCCGGAAATGAACGGCCGTCTACGTTTTGATATCTCGTGAAAAAAAACATTCGTTAAATACCTTATTTATAGCTCTAACTAAGGGGTTTCATAAATTTTTTTTCCAATTAAAAATAATTTAATAGGTATTACAAATATTTAAAAAAATATTTTTTCTTTTTATCTGTATTTTTAACGGAGGGTTTGACCCTCGTAGGTTAAAAACAAAGATTTTTCACGCAATTACACCGAAGCGTCGGTTTTTTTGGGTAGGAAAAAACGGCCGTTGGTGAATTAGAATTGCAAATTAGCGGAAACCCGAAAGTGAATTTTCAACTTTAACGGTGCCAACAAAAAAAAAAAGTTAAAAAGTTCCCTAAAAACTCTTTTTCCTTCAAATCTCAAATTTCAGCCCCAAAAAAAATATACTACGAATTACAATAGGATGTTATTATTTCCTAACAATAGATATCCCCCTAAAAGGAGCATTTTCGTTTCTCCCCCTTTTAACAAAATCCACGGTTGGATAAATACGGATAATTAAACCGGATTCGTTTGGATCCTGTCAAATCTGCAAGAATCTGATCGCTTGCTCAGCAAAAGTTTTCAAATGTTGTGTTCGTGGTCCTTTCGGGACACGGCCCGCCAACGACCGGATATTGAATTTGGAGCACTTACGCACTAAACGAATGAAAATTTACCCCGGGTCCTTCGAAAATCCGGAATACCTACGAAAAGTGCTGATTTAGCTTCATCAAGTTTCAAGAATCAAAATAGTTTATAAAAAAAATGTCTGTATTGAAACAACTGATTTAAAATTATTGAACAAAATGTCATGTAAATATTACTTGCGAATGGATTCAACTGTGAGGTGACTTAATTGACTACTAAGTGCATAAACAGTATGCTTCAATTCGGTCGAAGCTGAAGAAGTTGAGAATGAATAAATCGAAGTGTTATAGATGTGGTAAGTAGATCTTGTTGGTGATTGTGTTCTTTATAAGAAACAGGCAGGGTGTTAGTGGAGAATGAGGAGTTTTCGAGGAATCTTGACGAATCCTGAGGTTGAGAAGTGTGAAAGGATGTATTGATTGAGGACTGCGAAGAAGGAGAGAGTGTTTAACAGGTGATTACATTTGTGAAGGATGTAGTTTGATCGGGCATCATCTCATTGTGTATATATATTGCAAAAGTAAACAAGTGGTTTACCTAATCATGAGATAATCCAAAGATTTTTGAACCTAAAAAGTTTACATTCATAGCAAAAGACTCTAGAGGAATTCGGTAAAAGAATGCGGACAACGGAAAACGAATCTTAATCCATTGATAGAATAAATTAAATAGAGACGAAATTGATACTGACTCAGATAATAACTTTTTAAACGAATTTACAGTCTCACAAATAAAATATTGTTGTTAAGAATGCCAAGTTCTGGCTCCTAATTTGGCAGAAACCCTGTTATGTAGTTCCTGTAACCGGGTTGACAATCGCTAAGTGAAAATTTAAATATGTATATTATTTGAAATGTAGGAAGTTGGAAAATGTTAATAATTCGTCGGATGAGGTTGATTGTGAATTGACAGCTGTTCAATGTGGGAGTACCCTTTCATTAAATTATTAATGTATATAGATTTCCTTATTATAAATATATTTTTGTGCATATTGAATGAGTATTGGGTTACTTTTATAATGACAAGTAAGAAATATTTTTCACATTTTAACTAAAAAATAACTTTGTAATTTTTAACTTTACTTATTTCTTTTTTTAGTTAACCATTATATTTATACAGGGTGATTCTCAACCTATAGATAACGTGTTTTCCAGAAGGTGGATAGGTCGAGGTGGCTTTTTAGATAACTTCGATCTCGAAGACAAATCTTGCTCATCTTTGATAGAAGGATTATTGTAGGATAGCAATGGTCTACCGATAAAAAAATTGCCAGGAGTCAAAACTGTTGTATCATTCATATAGTTACTTAATGGACGCTAATTTAGAGATGCTTCTATTTGATAAAGAAGCGTGGAGAGTTCTTCAAATGTTAATGTTGTCTCCCCAATGACTCGTCTCAAGTGATGTTTGACAGATTTCACTCCGGCTTCCCAAATTCCTCCGAAGTGAGGAGCTGTTGGCGGATTAAAGTGCCATTGCGTCCCTTGAGTTACAAGGCTGTCTTGAATTGACCAATCCTGCATGACTGTTGCAATCTCTGGTTGTAATAACTTACTGGCTCCAGCAAAATTTGTTCCGTTATCACTGTACTTGTGTTCACAGTGACCACGTCGAGCAGTAAATCTTTTTAGAGCAACCAGAAACGTCTCAGTGGTCATATCACTGACTGCTTACAAATGAATTGCCTTTGTTGTCAGGCATACAATTATTATATGATTATATGGGCCGGCACAATCTACACCAGTATGAGTGAATGGGGGAGCTGACTCTTGGTGCAGGAAGTTCTCCCATCATTTGTTCTGCTGTTTGAGCCGATAGGTTAAGAATCACCCTGTATAGTTACACTGTGTACATAAAGTAAGTCATTTTTTTAACGCGCGCTTTTTAAGGCAAAATTGAAATATACAGAACGTCCCAAAATTGAGATACGATCCTTAAGTTCACATATTTAAATAGGAACATACATTTTCTGTTGTACTTATGGATTCTACGTAAAATTCTGAGTATTTTTCATGCAGTACAACGCCATTTTATAGAAATTAAATAAAAATAAACTATAAATAAATATAAATACCCTACCATAAAATATTTTATATTGAAATGAACAAATTCAAACCAGAATTGAAAATTTTAATTACGAGTGGAATGCTGAAGTGTTGTTAAACAACAAGAGCGACGATATCAATGGTCAGCTAATAATGCATCCATCGATTCTGATGATCAGTCGAGAGAGTTGGGTATTCAATAAATACTTGAAATTTACCCGGGTCACATTATTAATATGCCGCTGGTGATACTTCAGCGTGCGTTTTAAAAGTAATAACAAACTGGACATCAACATATGAAGTGCGTATGAGTGTGATACGAGTGATATGTCAACGGTATACAAATGAGCCAGAACATTCTGCTACCACCCCACGAAATCAATATCGAACCGAGTACAACTCAATTAACCCCGAAACGTGGATGGAAACACAGCCATCGAAAGAGTTAATTGGAAATAATCCTTTCTAAAAAAAAAAAGAAAAAGTAAAATACAATTTTTCATTAATATTAAAAATGGATTAAAATAGATGTCATAAAATAACCTGATGGAAATTTGCCAGAGATTTAATTTGAATTTTACGATTCATCCCGATGGAATAAAATGAGAAGGGGAAATTACTAGAAAGTACTCTATTTAATGATTTTTTTAAAAAAGAAAAATCCTTAATACATCTTTATCTTATTTTAGCCCACACACCGTGCCATTTTTAACACGTTTTAACAAATCATTTTAACAAATCACTTCGGCGTGTGCCATTGGAACCCAGAACGCAAGTTCCGAACACGAGTTTGGAATACCAAAGCTGATTTGAACGAGATCGCGGAACGAATTCGAACGAAAAAAATTAACACGACTATCGGGGAGGGTGGAAAGTTTGAAGTTTTGGGTTAAAAAAAAAATTCAAAACTCGGTCAGTTATGGCACTTTCGATCTATGTGTGTACCTATAAAATTGGGAATTGTTTAAAATAACCTCGCACCGTCTAAATTGTCGCGGGGAGTTGTTACAATTCGGCCGATTCGCAAAATGCATGCCCCTTTCGAAATTGGACAATGCCGAACAACGCAGTATTTTTAATATAACGAGTTCGTGTAACGATGTGGAAATGAAAACGTTTCGCTAAAATTCGTTGTATAGAAAGTTTTGGTCTCGGTATTTATTTTATTTTGTTGGTTGGTATACTCTATTTTTTAATTCGAATGAGTGTTGTCAAATTGTAGCGCCAAAAAGAAGGGTTGCTATTGGTTAGTTTTAAGCAAAAATTACAACATAGTAATATATTCTGCTACCTAGCACTACCTACCACTGCCACAAGAAGTAACAATAGACCGAGAACTGGAAACATTCGGATTTAGCCGCATGTCTCTCAAGACGGCTAAACCCGAATGATTCTTGTTCTAGGTCTGGTGTTAATTCTAGTGATAGTGCTAATGTAAAAATAGAACTAATGCTAGACCGAGAACTAGAAACATTCGGGTTTAGCCGTGCGTCTGAAGACTTTGTAGTTCTAGGTCTAGTATTAGTTCTAGTTTTAGTTCAATAAAAATATACAACATAGTAATATCTTCTGCTAACTAGCACTACCTACCACTGCCACAAGAACTAACACTAGACCGAGAACTAGAAACATTCGGATTTATGCCGGGTTTATACAGAATTTAGCTGTAAATTTAAAGATTTAGATTTAAGGATTGTATTTAGCTTTAAGAAAACAATTGATTTATACAGAATTTAAGATTTACAGAATCGCAACCTCAAGAAACAAAATATTACTGGTTTTCGTATTGTCATTTTCTACCAATATGTTATCTTTATGTTCAGAACATTTTTTATCGTAAATATATCGGTAGTTCTCAACAATTTTAATTAATTTTCCATCGAATTCACTCATTTTGTTGTTGCACAGAAATAAACAACAGTTGAGGTTAGGTTAGAACGCGCTATTTACACCGGCCGGGATCATTGGATACAGCTGATTGAGGTCGTCTTGCGCATGTGTGACGCTGCAAATCTAGAAAAGTTGACCAACTTTATGTTTACAGCTAAATCTTACAACTTTGTATAAACGATACATTGGATTGCGCACGCAACCTCATGGCCATGTGGTGCTCCATGCATTTATTTAACTTCAATTGCTTGGCGGTATTATTTTCCACATGTGACGTAATGCGCAGTATGGTTGCGTACGAACCTAGACAACCTTTTATATATAAACCTTGTCTCAAGGCGGCTAAACCCGAATGATTCTAGTTCTTGGTCTTGTGTTAGTTATAGTGATGGTACTAGTGTAAAACTAGAACTAACACTAGACCGAGAACTAGAAACATTCGGATTTAGCCCCACGTCTCTCAAGATGGCTAAACCCGAATGATTCTAGTTCTAGGTCTTGTGTTAGTTCTAGTGATAGTGCTAGTGTAAAACTAGAACTAACACTAGACCTAGAACTAGAAACATTCGGGTTTAGCCGCACGTCTCTCAAGACGGCTAAACCCGAATGATTCTAGTTCTAGGTCTTGTGTTAGATCTAGTGATAGTGCTAGTGTAAAATTAGAACTAACACTAGTCCTAGAACTAGAAGCATTCGGATGCAGCCGTACGTCTCTCAAGACGGCTAAATCCGAATGATTCTAGTTCTTGTGTTAGTTCTAGTGATAGTGCTAGTGTAAAACTAGAACTAACACTAGACCTAGAACTAAAAATATTTCTAGTTCTAGTAAGTTCGAAACTTGCTAGTTCTAGGTCTAGTGTTAGTTTTAGTTTTAATTCAATAAAAATATACAACATAGTAATATCTTCTGCTAACTAGCACTACCTACCACTGCCACAAGAGAACTAGAAATATTCGGATTTGGCTGCAAGTCTCTCAAGACGGCTAAACCCGAATGATTCTTGTTCTAGGTCTTGTGTGTAGTTCTAGTGATAGTGCTAATGTGAAACTAGAACTAACACTAGACCGAGAACTAGAAACATTCGGGTTTAGCCGTGCGTCTGAAGACTTTCTAGTTCTAGGTCTAGTATTAGTTCTAGTTTTAGTTCAATAAAAATATACAACATAGTAATATCTTCTGCTAACTAGCATTACCTACCACTGCCACAAGAACTAACACTAGACGGAGGACTAGAAACATTCGGATTTAGCCACACGTCTCTCAAGACGGCTAAACCCGAATGATTCTAGTTCTAGGTCTTGTGTTAGTTCTAGTAGTGGTACTAGTGTAACACTAGAACTAACACTAGACCGCGAACTAGAAACATTCGGATTTAGCCGCACGTTTCTCAAGACGGCTAAACCCGAATGATTCTAGTTCTCGGTCTTGTGTTAGTTCTAGTGATAGTACTAATGTAAAACTAGAACTAACTCTAGACCAGGAACTAGAAACATTCGGGTTTAGCTGTAGGTCTGAAGACGCACGGCTAAACCCGATACGTTAGTTTTAGTGCAATAAAAATATGCAGCATAGTGATATTTTATGCTAACTAGCGCTACTTACCACCTACTTTTTTTACTTAATAAATTTTATTTTGTTACAGATATGTCTTTTCCAAAATTCGCTGAACCCATCCCAAACGTAACCGTAACGGTTGGAAGGGATGCTCTTTTAGCTTGCGTGGTGGATAATCTTCGTGGATTTAAGGTAACAATTTTTATTTTCTCATAAATAATTCACTATTTTATCTAACCCCAGTTATAAAAAAATATAAGGTTTACGATCTTTTATAATAAATCATGAATTATTACAACGACTTAAAAAGTGGAAGGAAATGGTTAACAGGAAGTAAATCACCGGGTTGTTTTCTTCCTCTCCTCCTTTTCGGATGGTCTACGTAATCACCCAGAAAATACTGACCAATATTCCTGCTGGAACGGTCGTTTATAGGGATCTAAATTTTTCACAACCCCCGGGATATTTCCTCTGACCATAAACTCCGTGTCCGCGGTGAGAAGTGAAATTCGGTTCTCATATCAAATTCAATTCGGGCGTATTAATTCAATGTGAATTTCCCCCGGAAACGGGACCCCATTAAGAAGGGTGGTGGTGATGGTGGTAACCTTTAGCGGTGAGCGGCAACTTTTCGAACTCAAAAGACCATAACAATAAAAGGAGAAGTCGCCGCCGCTTCGGCTTATAAAGGCGTCGGACGGTTCATTTCCTCCCCACCGTCTTTACTTCAACCCCCTTATCCCCACCCGCAGGACCGGATAATTAGAAAATTTAAATTTCTCGGGCGGCAGGACCGGCATAACTTTTCCTTGAGTGCGGCACCAGCGATAAACTAATTGAATTGAAGGTGGTACGCGCCTATCGAAACTTTTCTCTCTAGTTTCTATTTTAACACCAACATCATTTATTTTCTGCTTTACCAGTCGAATTTAAGCTTGATTTGGCGTCGTTACTTGTAAAAATTTAATTAGTAATTTGGGAAACGAAAGAAAATTCGACTATTTGTCGCGATAACGAAGGTCCTTAGTAATGCGAACCGTTTTCCCATTGGGATCCAACTTGAAGACTCCCCTCTAAGACTCTCGTTCCTTATATCAGATATACGTCTCCGGGAGACTTATCTAATTTCAGCAACACTTTGCGCTGCAAATTCGATAAAAACAGCCCCCGGACGCTTCCACGCTCCAGTAGGAACTCACACAATGTACATTGTACAACCGGGGGGATAGCACCTTACTGTATCCCCCCCGTGAAAACCCCCTCTTGGATAATGTCGAGCACGTAGTTCGGGTAGAAAGAGAACGAGCAGTGTTCAACGTACGAAAGAAGACGGAAAAGGCGTGACTCATTCAAGACACGAAACCGACTCTTACGGACCGAAAGACAGGATGAGGAGGGGAAAGCTCCGGAGGAACCCGGAGGCTCTTCTGGCAGACCGTTCATCCTTTGGTATTCTTGCAGTGTTATATCGGTTCTGGTGTGTTTGTTTTCGCTTCTATTTGTTGTCGTTTTGGGGTGTGAGGGATGTGTATGGGGGATGTTGGGGGGATAATACAATGTAAACGCGAATGGCGGGGACACCGGGACATTAGCATGGTAAATGCCGCACCGAATAGGACACGGTACACGTCACCGAAGGGAATTGGATTTTGAAGGAATTTTAAAATGGACCGTATCCGGAGTTTTCAAGTATTTTTATAAAAAAAATTCTGTTAAAGACTAAATTGGCGGCAAAATTTTTATTTTCCAATCCATTCGAGTAAGGTTTTTGTTATGCATAAACAAAATAAAAATTAAATTTTAAAATTTCCATTCACACAGAAGCAATTATAAATACATTTTTTATTAGAATATTGTTAACCCAACACTTGATTTTAAATAATAGAACAAGAAATTATCTATTTTACTAGAAAATAGATAGAAATCTCATCAAGTTAAAGCATTTTTGGTTCGTAATTGTGGTTGGATTGAGATATTGAAAGCATTATCGGAAACAAAAAGAAAGATGGTTTATTTGGTCATATATAAGATTAAGACGAGGTCCCTGACGATTGAAATGCTGCAATATGTATTGTGCAATTTTACAAGCGACCTTGGCTGAACTTGAAACGCAAAATGTGTGATTTGGCCAGATTAAGCCAAGGTTGCTTGCCGCCGATGTGGTGTACTTAACACCATCTTCAACCAATGCAAATATTCTAGTGATTCAGCTGCAAGCCACCTCTGCTAAAGTTAAAACAGTAAAACAAATCTATATAATATCGCGTTTAATATAAAATACATGTAACGTTTACAGTAATAGCGACAAATTATGAGCAGGTTGCGCACGACTTTATCAAAGACCTACTCAGTCCATACGTAAATAGTGTCATAAAATTTGAATATAATCCAAATTCTCCTTCATTAATTATATCAAAATATATAACGAATGTATAAAAACTTGTATGTATACATATAAACTACAAGTGACGCAACGCAGAATGAAATCCTAAATGAAGGAGTGAGAAGAAGAACGGGAGTAGAGGACATCATCGTACGTATTACAAGGCTAAAATAGACACGTGGCTAGACTGAGAGATGGTAGGTGGACGAAGAGAATCCTGGAATGGCGACCGAGAGCAAATAAACGCAGTAGGGGTATCACCGACTCAATGGACAGATGACCTCAGGATACTAGCAACAAACTACGACCTGTCTTAAGGAAGCCTATGTCAGCAGCGGACAGAAACGAGCTGATGATGATAAAGTATAACGTCAGAAGACGGTTCACCTGTTGTTGCTCTTGTTCTTGTTGGTGGGGGATTTCTTCTGGGCTCTCTGGGTTTCCGAGAAGTTGTTGGAAATATTCTATTGTAGTCTTCTGATAAAACCACATTAGAGGAAGTCGAGCTAGCTTTGCAAACCCAAAAAAACTACAAATCGCCTGGATTTGATGGAATGGCTATAGAACTANAGTAGGGGTATCACCGACTCAATGGACAGATGACCTCAGGATAATAGCAACAAACTACCTTCCTGTCTTAAGGAAGCCTATGTCAGCAGCGGACAGAAACGGGCTGATGATGATAAAGTATAACGTTAGAAGACGGTTCACCTGTTGTTGCTCTTGTTCTTGTTGGTGGTGATTTCTTCTGGGCTCTTTGGGTTTCCGAGAAGTTGTTGGAAATATTCTATTATAGTCTTCTGATAAAACCACATTAGAGGAAGTCGAGCTAGCTCTGCAAACCCAAAAAAACAACAAATCGCCTGGATTTGATGGAATAGCTATAGAACTATATAAAACAGCCGGGGAAAACCTCTTAGAACAACTTTATAGTTTAATAGTTAACATATGGAAGGAAGAAAAGATCCCCTAGGACTTAGTTTTAGTTCAATAAAAATATGCAGCATAGTGATATTTTATGCTAACTAGCGCTACTTACCACCTACTTTTTTTACTTAATGAATTTTATTTTGTTACAGATATGTCTTTTCCAAAATTCGCTGAACCCATCCCAAACGTAACCGTAACGGTTGGAAGGGATGCTCTTTTAGCTTGCGTGGTGGATAATCTTCGTGGATTTAAGGTAACAATTTTTATTTTCTCATAAATAATTCACTATTTTATCTAACCCCAGTTATAAAAAAATATAAGGTTTACGATCTTTTATAATAAATCATGAATTATTACAACGACTTAAAAAGTGGAAGGAAATGGTTAACAGGAAGTAAATCACCGGGTTGTTTTCTTCCTCTCCTCCTTTTCGGATGGTCTACGTAATCACCCAGAAAATACTGACCAATATTCCTGCTGGAACGGTCGTTTATAGGGATCTAAATTTTTCACAACCCCCGGGATATTTCCTCTGACCATAAACTCCGTGTCCGCGGTGAGAAGTGAAATTCGGTTCTCATATCAAATTCAATTCGGGCGTATTAATTCAATGTGAATTTCCCCCGGAAACGGGACCCCATTAAGAAGGGTGGTGGTGATGGTGGTAACCTTTAGCGGTGAGCGGCAACTTTTCGAACTCAAAAGACCATAACAATAAAAGGAGAAGTCGCCGCCGCTTCGGCTTATAAAGGCGTCGGACGGTTCATTTCCTCCCCACCGTCTTTACTTCAACCCCCTTATCCCCACCCGCAGGACCGGATAATTAGAAAATTTAAATTCCTCGGGCGGCAGGACCGGCATAACTTTTCCTTGAGTGCGGCACCAGCGATAAACTAATTGAATTGAAGGTGGTACGCGCCTATCGAAACTTTTCTCTCTAGTTTCTATTTTAACACCAACATCATTTATTTTCTGCTTTACCAGTCGAATTTAAGCTTGATTTGGCGTCGTTACTTGTAAAAATTTAATTAGTAATTTGGGAAACGAAAGAAAATTCGACTATTTGTCGCGATAACGAAGGTCCTTAGTAATGCGAACCGTTTTCCCATTGGGATCCAACTTGAAGACTCCCCTCTAAGACTCTCGTTCCTTATATCAGATATACGTCTCCGGGAGACTTATCTAATTTCAGCAACACTTTGCGCTGCAAATTCGATAAAAACAGCCCCCGGACGCTTCCACGCTCCAGTAGGAACTCACACAATGTACATTGTACAACCGGGGGGATAGCACCTTACTGTATCCCCCCCGTGAAAACCCCCTCTTGGATAATGTCGAGCACGTAGTTCGGGTAGAAAGAGAACGAGCAGTGTTCAACGTACGAAAGAAGACGGAAAAGGCGTGACTCATTCAAGACACGAAACCGACTCTTACGGACCGAAAGACAGGATGAGGAGGGGAAAGCTCCGGAGGAACCCGGAGGCTCTTCTGGCAGACCGTTCATCCTTTGGTATTCTTGCAGTGTTATATCGGTTCTGGTGTGTTTGTTTTCGCTTCTATTTGTTGTCGTTTTGGGGTGTGAGGGATGTGTATGGGGGATGTTGGGGGGATAATACAATGTAAACGCGAATGGCGGGGACACCGGGACATTAGCATGGTAAATGCCGCACCGAATAGGACACGGTACACGTCNCGAAAAAATTTTTTTGTCTACGTCATCAAATTCTCTGTAAAAAAGTTACCATATAATGTCTTAGTTATAATACTCCAAATTCAATTTTGACCTCTAGAGGAAACACAAAAGACGATAGCGCTTTGAAGTTTTTGATATTAGAATTAATTTAAAAAAAGAGGTTGAGACATGGAAGCTATTTTTTTTTCTAACTCTTATACATAGTTTCCGAGATAGCCTATTCGGACATCGAATTTGAACCACCCCAGTACAGCGTATAAAGTATTCACCTACATACCCAACAAACAGGAATACACGAAGGACATCATTCGTGATTATCAAGCAGGTTTCAGGGTAGGCAGATCCACTATTCACAAGCTACAAAGCGTCAAAGAGATGGTCAGACGTACATAGAAATTCGACATTGATGTAAGCCAGATTTTCGGCAAGCCTATGACTTCATAAAAGAGCTAAAATATATCACATTATGAACGAATTCGGAATACCCATAAAATTAACAAGATTAATAAAAACTACATTACGGATACCACAGCATATGTCAGAATACAGAATCAGATGACTAACCCATTCGAAATCACACAAGGATTGAAACAAGCTGATGGATTTGCCCCGGTCCTCTTCAATATTGCCTTGGAATATGTCATAAAAAAAAATGTCGATCAATTCTTCAAACATCTTGAATAATAAGTCCTTCCAAATAGCAGCATATACTGACGACATTAATATAAAGGGAGAAGCTAGAGAAGTGGGTCTATCAATAAATGCAGAGAAAACCAAAGTTTTAAACCAAACACGCAAAATCTAACCATCGGGGATGCTAACCTGGAAAGAGTGAATGACTTCACATATCTGGGGGTCAAACTATCAAAGGATGGCAACGAGTAGCCGGAAATTCGAAGAAGGGTTACACAGGCAAAGAAAGTATATTTTGCCCTTCTCCATATATTTAGATCGCGTATCCAACCCAACCCAACAATAACCAACCCAACGTTAATGTAAAAGTATTCTTCATATGGGTGGGAAGTCTGGCTCCTTACCAAGAAAATGATAAACTATATAAGTGTGTTTGGAAGGAAAATCCTAAGAGGAATATTTGGTCTAACGCAAGAAAACAGAGAATGGAGATCCAGATACAATCGCGAATTGTACGATACTTATATTCGGTCACGTGGTCCGAATGGAGGGGACGAGAATGCCTAAAAGATTACTCAAATCTAAAATAGACCAACGCAGGCCAGCGGGAAGGCCCACACACCTTNTGTCATAATATCTCAACATCTAAAACCGAAAAAATTTTTTTGTCTACGTCATCAAATTCTCTGTAAAAAAGTTACCATATAATGTCTTAGTTATAATACTCCAAATTCAATTTTGACCTCTAGAGGAAACACAAAAGACGATAGCGCTTTGAAGTTTTCGATATTTAAATTAATTTAAAAAGAGAGGTTGAGACATGGAAGCTATTTTTTTTCTAACTCTTATACATAGTTTCCGAGATAGCCTATTCGGACATCGAATTTGAACCACCCCAGTACAACGTATAAAGTATTCACATACATACGCAACAAACAGGATATACACGAAGGACATCATTCCTGATTATCAAGCAGGTTTCCGGGTAGGCAGATCCACTATTCACAAGCTACAAAGTGTCAAAGAGATGGTCAGACGTACATAGAAATTCGACATTGATGTAAGCCAGATTTTCTGCTTAACTAGAAGACAATGCTAGAGAAGTGGGTCTATCAATAAATGCAGAGAAAACCAAAGTTTTATACCAAACACGCAAAATCTAACCATCGGGGATACTAACCTGGAAAGAGTGAATGACTTCACATATCTGGGGGTCAAAATATCAAAGGATGGCAACGAGAAGCCAGAAATCCGAAGAAGGGTTACACAGGCAAACAAAGCATATTTTGCCCTTCTGCATATATTTAGAACGCGTGGTGTATCCAACCCAACCCAACCCAATAATAAAATACGTTTATATAAAAGTAGTCTTCATATGGGTGCGAAGTCTGGGTACTTACCAAGAAAATGAGAAACTATATAAGCGTGTTTGGAAGGAAAATCCTAAGAAGAATATTTGGTCTAAAGCAAGAAAACGAGGAATGGAGATCCAATATATTCGTTTTCGTCAGAATACAAAGACTCCATTGGGCTGGTCACATGGTCCGAATGGAGGGGATGAGAATGCCTAAAAGATTACTCAAATCTAAAATAGACCAACGCAGGCCAGCGGGAAGGCCCACACACCTTTTTTTTACTGCTTAAAGATGTCTTCAATTCTGTTTTTGCATTTAAAGTACTTCCGACGAGTGATGTCTTCTTCTTTCTTCTGAGTAGAATTCTGATGGAGTTCAGTATTTCCTTAAAATCCGCCATTAACATTTTACCAAGATTGGGGTTTGGGCCGTATCCACAACGTAAAGCGATGCCCAGTATTTTATTTTAGGCGAATTTTTTTTAATAAAATCTATTTTCAGGTTGCATGGGTTCGAGTTGACACCCAAACAATCCTTTCAATCCATCACAACGTCATCACTCAAAATCCACGGATATCTCTAAGTTACAACGACCACCGATCTTGGTATTTACACATAAAGAATGTGCAGGAATCCGATAGGGGTTGGTACATGTGTCAGGTAAATACCGACCCCATGCGTAGTAGGCAAGGTTATCTTCAGGTAGTTGGTAAGAAAATTTATGGAAATATTATAAATCTTTTGTTTTAATTATAACTTATTTAGTACCTCCAAGTATCATCGATCGAGAAACTAGTTCGGATATGGTAGTTTTGGAATCCACTAACGTAAGCCTGACCTGCAAAGCTCGGGGTTATCCGGAACCATATGTCATGTGGAGACGGGAAGATGGGGAAAATTATCGATACAACGGGGAGAGCGGTAAGAGAATGTCTTGATTCCGATTTACACGAGATAGATGGTGACAGAGAGAAAAGTTATTTATCAATTTACATAGAGATTAAATCTGATTAAGTCAATTATCATCTCGAAGGGGTAAAGTCGTCCCATTTTGATTATATTTGCTCTAATCTTGTATTCCTTATATTAGTCCAAGATTTTACCCCTTTTAGCATCCCCAACTCGCGTTTTCGCCTCATTTAAATTATTCATAGCCGCGGATCCGGAGGAGATAAACAAAAAGCGAACTATGCAATGGATATGTTTACGAGACAGGCGAGTAATTGCAACCTCCGCCTGGCTTAAACGAGAACGTATCGCCAACGAACCACCCCTATACAGGTTTCCCCTTCCTCATTCCCTCCATTAAATAATGCATTAACGACTCGCCCGGAAAGCTAAAGAAGTTTCTTTACGAACCTCTAACAAATAAATCGACTAAAAGAGAGTATAAAAATTTTCTCTTTTTAACTTAGTAGCTAAATACCTTAACAAAAATCTTTTAATACTAATTAATTTTTAATTAATTATTTAGATTTTTCATTTTTCGGTTTTTCTTTTTCAGTGAATGTGGTCGACGGTGAAATTCTCTTTATCACAAAAGTCAGCCGCTTGCACATGGCCAATTACCTATGCATAGCGTCCAACGGAGTGCCACCATCTATCAGCAAGCGGGTGCAGCTGAAAGTGCAATGTAAGTGCCACTTTAAGCCCTCTCTTGATGGCGGTTGAGGTCTACTCTGACGGCGCGTTATCCATTATGCGGGTCGATGGCGTGAAGTTTTTCGCTGCCACCCTTTTTCTTTCACAATACATATGAATCGCGACATTGAGATTGTAATATTTCATGTTACAGACCTTCTTCAAAAGATAAATCATTCTTTTATTACTATTTTATTCCCACAATCAATTATGTAATCATATAAATCGCGCGATTCGATTTATCAATCGAAATCTTGTTTAAGAAATCAATTTAAATTCAAAACAACGCAGAAGCGAAGCCATTTTAGTGAAGGATGTTGATATTTTTCTAGATAAGATTCAGATTTATAAAACTTTTTATTATATCATACCGTCTAAGATAAACGAATAGTGTATTTGCAATATTGTCAAAACCGACACACGAAATTGCATTTTCCACCGGTTACAAGGTATCTTGCAAAACGGTTCTTGTAGAATTTATTATAGGGCATAATAGGAGAAAAGCAGATATGTCCCAATTTCAATTTGGCGAGAGACGAACCGTCGTCGTCGTTGGATGCATAAAGCTAGTTGGGTTTCACATACATTTTACGGTTAGACCCGGGTATCATCGTTCGGTTTATGCTTATCGTAAAGTCGACGTCGTCGGGCGCCGCGATGCCCACCCCCATACGGGACCGTAAATAATTTATTGTCAGCGAGAAACAATAAAAACGAGGAAGAGGAGTCAGTTTTCGGTAATCGGATTATCAAAATTTACCCGAAATCGACCACTATATCGGCTGACTAATGAGAAGAGAGATAGGAGAGAGGATTACGTGTAAATATTTGTAACCGAGAGAGGGTTGTTTGCGTGGCATTAAAGGTTAAATCGTGGGAGTTGATCGAACAAAGTTTACATTAAAACCATTTTAACCTTATTAAAAGTTGTATTTTTGTATATTTCAAATTGTATTTTGTTTGTTTTTAGTTCCTCCAATGCTTACCATCCCAAATCAATTAGAAGGGGCTTATATTGGACAAGACGTTTCTTTAGAATGCCACACCGAAGCTTTTCCTACTTCAATCAACTATTGGACTACTGAAAGAGGAGATATGATCATCTCAGGTAGTTGTAAAAAAACCATTTCTAAAAGACTGGAGTTTATTTTTACTTTCTCGCATATACGGAGCATATAAAGAGATACGAGGACCCCCGAATCCATTTTGACTATTACTATTTTTAGTGTTTCATTTATGTGTATGTATGTGTATGAACACGATAAATTAAAATTTGTTACATCTCATGAACATCTTAAACAATCTCTGGAAATGGTACATTGCTAAATTTTTATTGGAAACTATAAAGTGTTATAGATATGCTTCTCTGATATCTTTTTATGAGATCTCCTATACTGTGTTTGGTTCGGACAGTCTCTGCAACTTCCAGCAGTAGTCTGCCATCATCAACGGCCTTGATGTCTTTCCTCCATAATCTTGATGTCCTAGTGGAACCGTTCCCGTTGTTCTTCGCTATAATCAGCGCAAATAATGCTATTTGACACTCACATCCGATTCAATCCGGTTTTCGACCTAGCTATAGTTAACGTCATGATGATCTCTTGAAGGCTCGCGGTGATGGTCAGAATAGAGTGGTTATGATCACAGCAAGGCTTTCGACAAAGTCAACCACCGAATACTGTTCTCTTGCATTATGTTGGTATATCCGATTATTAATAAACAAACTTATAAACAGCTTTTTATTTGGCCGAGTTCCGGTGGTGAGACTGGATGAGGAATTTTCGGAATCGTGTGCCTCAGGGATCTTCGTTAGCTCCGCTACTATTTACTCTGTACACCTGTCAATTACTGTACTACACATGTACGCTAATTATATTCAGCTGTATTAGTCTTTTCGAAGAGAGCACACTGCCTTGTCATGTACAAAATTAAACGCAGATTTTTTCTCAGAAAAATGGCACTAATAGTTAAAGCAACCAAATCAACAATACTTACCTTTGCCAATCAACCATCTCATACCGTTAATGTTTCATTGAATGGTGAGCGACTCTTTGTGTCGCCGGAGGCTAGAAATTTGGGGGTGGTATTTGACTCTAATTTTCGTTTCACTACTCACGTCACTGCTTGTATAAGGAAGGCATATGCAGCTCTTTGGTGTCTCTACCGACACCACTAAAAGACATTTCTGTGATACGTTACTTTTATCTAACTTTGTGAATTGTGCAGCCATGTATGCACCATGTTTAATGGAATTTGATTTGCATCGCATTAAAAAGTTCAGAATGGTTGTCATCGTTTCATTTACGGGATCAGAAAGCATGAAACTACATACAGGGTGTATCTGAATGACTGCAACAAACTTCAAGGGGTGATTCTTTAGTGAATTTTAAGGGTACTTTGATATATGAACCATGGGCGACTTCGGCTCCCCTAAGGAGCTACACCCCTTCAAAAATGGCGGAAAATTTTGGTTTAATTTGTTTTTCTCAAAAACCATAAACGCTAGGAAAATGAAATTTGGGGAATATATTTAACTCATAATAGGGCACGTTTTGACCCTATTTGTACTTTCAACCTACCCTTCTAAACTACTAAACGTAACCACCCCCGTTCAATTTATGCCTAGATTTTTTTATGAAGATGATAAATAGATTGGAAACCTATTCTAAAACTTTTTTGTCTCTCTGATGTTCTTCTAAAATTTAATAATTTCTGAGAAAAAAAGTAAGTAAGCAAACACTAACTGTTAACCTGTAGGGTTGTTAATCGAAAGTTGGAATGAATTTTAAATGAAAAAATCTTAGTAGACTTTGCAATCTCTGTCAAAAATATTTTTGACGTTTAAATGTCAGTGGTTTTCGTACTATTATTATTGTTTTATTTAAAATTTTGAAACGTCGAGTGAACGAGCGTAAATGCGATAGAACTTTATTCAAAAATTAATTTGAAAAACAATAATAATAGTAAGAAAAACTGACATTTAAACGTCAAAAATATTTCTGACAAAGATTGCAAAGCCTACTAAGATTTTTTCATTAAAAATTCATTCCAACTTTTGATCGACAACCCCGTTGTTTAACGGGCAGTGTTTGCTTTACTATTTTTTTAATACTTTCATCTATCTATGTAAAATTTTTCTAATGTATTTATCATCAGCATAAAAAAAATTTTAGCAAAAATGCAAAGGGGGTGGTTAGGTTTAGTAGTTTAGAAGGGTAAGTTGAAAGTACAAATAGGGTCAAAACGTGCCCCATTATGAGTTAAACATATTGCCCAAATTTCATTTTCCTAGCGTTTATGGTTTTTGAGAAAAAGAAATTAAACCAAAATTCTCCGCCATTTTTGGAGGGGTGTAGCTCCTTAGGGGAGCCGAAGTCGCCCATGGTTCATATATCAAAGTACCCTTAAAATTCACTAAAGAATCACCCCTTGAAGTTTGTTGCAGTCATTCAGATACACCCTGTATATCTCACACTATAAGCAATACAGGGTGGTTGAACATTAGAAACCGTTTTAAATACTATTTCTTGTCTCTCACGAAAACACCACCTTACTTGTATAATAAAATCACTTTTAGGACAGACGTACATACATAACCTAAACCTCAGACATAAAACACCATTACCATACCTGCTCATAAAATAGCTCTTTTTAAGTGATCATTTTCATATAATACTGCTAAGGAGTATGATGCCTGTCCTTCTGATTTCAAGAATAAAAGACCCGACATTTTTTATATAAAGTTGCGCGACGCTTTATTAACACTACAAAGATCACAACAAAACGTTTATATTGCCTCGGTGTTCTTTCTTTATAATTATTTATGCAAGAGTTTGAGATGTTTGTTTTCTTATCTTGAATGTTTGAACGTTCAACTCCTGGTTGAGCAGAACAGATGACAGGATCTTTGGAAACTGTTATCTGGACTTCGCTGGTTGACTGCATAAAGTTTCAGTCTGATGATGTTTTCTCGACTGATCAACAGTTCCTTTTCCAACAGTCATGTTCATTCTCTATGGCTAGTCTTTCCTACTCCAGAGTTCACTTTACGCACGACTGTCCCACAGACAAAGAAAACATTTTTAAATCTACACACACTCATGATGAAGAAATGTAGTTTTTCTAAAACAAGTTTAATATTCTTCCTTAAAAGTAGTTATTCAATTACTCTTAATCACTATCGTGATTGAAGCTAACTTATTGAAATTTTTTTTTGAGCTATCTATTAAAAGCTGCCAGTTTTTGAGTTGGTATACTCTTTTTGTCACGAATGTCACGCTTTCTAATTCGGTAACACGCTAGTGATAGGCCAGTTTTTCAACCGCAAGAAGCTCAGCTGATTTGTTAAATAAATTTAAATCTCGAAAAATGTATTTTAACTCTCTCTGAAAAAATCCTTGAAAGTGTAGGATTGCATCATTCAAAATCACTTCCGCTATTGTTTTTACTCTAACTATTTAACATTTCAACATCATCATATTCTAGTAAGGAAGTAAATACCTGTATTGGCAAATCTTCACTATGCAGCGTATCGGTTTATACATTCACAACACAAAAGTAGCAATCATCAAGGTGGTTTTTTGGCTCACCGGTGTTCCACACGGAACCCCTTTTCGAAGTGGCTCCACGTAAATTTTACAAACTTTGTGTTGTCTTGTTACCCAAGTTGTTTTCCAAAATGTGCTCTATTACTTTGTTCTACAAAATCATTTATATTCCTTCGTTGCTTTTCTGGACAAAATTTACCACATATGTAGCAGAAATGGTCGGTGTTTTTGTAACAATAACGCTCAATAAATTAAATAATATAAATAATTGGGATTTTTTAACACTCAAAAATTATGAACAAGGTGCTATTCGTTAAAATCATGGTCAACGATAAGTGTTTGTCATCTTACACTTCGAAAAAGACACGTTAATGAGGGAAAGTTATTAAAAAAATCTGTATTTTTTATAGAACGGTTTATTATGAGAACCAGAGTCAATTCAAACGAAATAATGTATAGGCTAAGTACTCCATAATTATATGTAGCTAAATTGACTCCATAAAGTTATGTCTGTGTCTGTGTTATTTATTATTAATAACATAAAACTTAATATATCTATTAGTGTTATATTAAAATTTCGATAAACTCGACTTTATCTCCAATTGAGTTCATTTTTCTAATTAAAAGGGTGTAGAGTTAAGAGAAAAAGGTTTAATCGACGACAATTCAGTGCACACAACCTCCCTTTAGGCTATACTACAAGCTAGGTTTGGAGGAGAGTGGACTTGCATGTAAGCGGAGTGAAACCCGTGCAGATTTTGATTGATCAATAGCTCGAGGGAAATAAATCAAAGAGGGTCGTTAATCACGACCCCGGGGACGTTTTGATTGTTTACACTGGGGCCCTCAGCGCCAAAAAGAGAGTGGGGAATGGAGGGAAGCTTTTTGTCGTTCTTGCGGCTCGACGATTTCGCCAAAAGTTCAAAACGCCAAATTCGTACTTAACCAACTTGACACTTTTTTATTTAATTTTTTTTAACATTTACTTTATTATAGGTGATAAATACGAAGCGGTTTCGATGGATAGCGGTTATAAGAAATACATGATGCTTAAGATTCGTAACGTTAGCCCCAATGATTTTGGATCTTACATGTGCGTTGCGAAAAATTCTTTAGGAGAGACCGATGGGGTCATAAAATTGGAGGGTAAATTATCATTTTAATTACGAAATTTATTTAAAGTGTTGATTTTGCAGAAATTCCAGCTCCGACGACTCTTCGGGTTACAACGACGATTCCAACATTACCGGTAAAAAAGAAAGGTACGTTTCGATGCTTTTACAACCATTTTTTTGCAATGTTTATTTTACTCGTTTAAAGTTTAGTTAATAGCAAAAATAACGTTTATTTTAAAAAGCCATTTTAAATCGTCGCAACAATTTATTCTAATTTCAACGAGGTATAAAACCGAAATAAACGCGTCGTTAGTGTCAGTATAAAAATAAATAAAACGACAAATCTCAAATTATATTGGATCTAGTTAAAACCTAAAATTGTGATTTTTTTTGTATACCGGCAATTTTATATAACATATAACTTGCAATATATGAGTGCTGTAACCATAGTTACGAAATTACTATGCAGTTGCACTGTCCCACATAAAACTCAACATAGCTTAATAGTACAGGCATTGGGTAATTTTGCAAAAGAAAAGTTTTGTTTAGAAAAAGGTGACGTCCTTATGATAACCATAAGTTTTCGGCCGTCTTAAGAGACGCACGGTTAAACCCGAATGTTTCTGATTCTAGGTCAAATGTTAGTTCTACTTTTCGTTCAATAAGAATATACCACAATCTAACGCTAAATAACAATAAAAACTAGAACTAACACTAGACCTAGAACTAGAAACATTCGGATGTAGCCGCACGTCTCTCAAGACGGCTAAATCCGAATGATTCTAGTTCTTGTGTTAGTTCTAGTGATAGTATTAGTGTAAAACTAGAACTAACACTAGAACTAGAATTAGAAAATATTGGGATTAGCCGTGCGTCTGAAGACGCACGGCTAAACCCGAAACTTTCTAGTTCTAGGTCTAGTGTTAGTTCTAGTTTTAATAGTTGTTAAGCGCTAAATAGTTGTCTATTTTTACTGAAATAAAAGTAGAACTAATACTTGACCTAGAAACATTCGGATTTAGCCGCACGTCTCTCAAGACGGCTAAACCCGAACCTTTCTAGTTCTAGGTCTAGTGTTAGTTCTAGTTTTAATTCAATAAAAATATACAACATAGTAATATCTTCTGCTAACTAGCACTATCTACCACGATCACAAGAACTAACACTAGACCTAGACCTAGAAATATTCGGATTTAGCCGCACGTCTCTAAAGACGGCTAAACCCGAATGAATCTAGTTTTAAGTATAGTGTTAGTTCTAGTTTTACACTTGCACTGTCACTAGAACTAACGTTATACCTAGAACTAGAAACATTTGGGTTTAGCCGTATGCATCTAAAGACGGCTAACCCCGAATGTTTCTACTTCTAGATGTACTGTTAGTTCTAGATTTACACTAGCACTGTTACTGTGTAGAACTAACACTATACCTACAACTAGAATCATTCGGATTTAGCCGCACGTCTCTAAAGACGGCTAAACCCGAATGATTCTAGTTTTAGGTGTAGTGTTAGTTCTAGTTTTACACTTGCACTGTCACTAGAATTAGCATTAGATCTAGAATTAGAAACATTTGGGTTTAACCGTGCGTCTCTTAAGACGACTAAACTCGAATGATTCTAGTTCTTGGTCTAGTGCTGCATAACAATTAAAACTAGAACTAACTCTAGAACCTAGAACTAGAAAGTTTCGGGTTTAGCCGTGCGTCTAAAGACCTGGTTCCTATGGAAATAAATTTCTGTATATTGCACTTGAAATGAAATTCACTGTATATTTTTATATTGCAATTTTTTTATTTTATACAGGGTGTCTCACGTAACTGGTTCGTTAGAACTTTTTTAGGTTCCAGTATTCGTACAGTTTTGAAATATTGGTGGTATGGGTTGTTCAGTCGGAACTTTCGATCTAAAATATTTTCAAGACGGCTGCCACTTCCGGTCTACCGGAAGTAGACCATAACTTCGTTATTTTAAATGGAATGCTANAACATGGCATCCGAAACGTCAAACCTTTTATTAAAAGACGCACGGCAAAACCCGAAAGTTTCTAGTGTTAGTTCTAATTTTAGTTCAAATAAATATGTATCGTTGTTCGAAACAGGGTAACACATCACTTTATTAAATGAAGTGACATTACCTTGTGCTTTCCCGAGAAAATTCAACAATACCAACATCAAAATTATAAAGTTCTAACGTGCACCGAAAAATATTCAGATCGACAATACCAACCTCAAAATTATGAAGTTCTAACGTGCACCGAAAAATATTCCGCTAAACGTGACGTCATCGCTGTGATGACGTTTAGCGTGTACGTAATTTTTTGATTTACGTACACGTTAGCGTGTACCTAGACACTTCCTTGAATAAAAATATAAATTTGTTATTAAATTGAATTTGGAAATGCAATAAAATACGTTAAATTATTTATTTTGTTGTCTTCATCACTGGTGACCGGAAATATGCCATTTCTTTTGGTCTCGATATATCCAGAACTAAGAAATTCTTTATCAATTTTTTGAAATTTTTCCTTGTGATGGGCGTTAGGTTTGTTAGGCATCTCTCATTAAGTGCTCGACACGTCCTGTTCAAAAGTTTATTACATTCGCCATCAATACAAAATAAATTTCAAATATCGGCGTTGGAATAATTTACCATGATGTTCAATGACTTACACCCGTCGTTAAATGTAACTAATGGCAACAATAATACAAACATGGACCAAAAACTGTCAAAATTCCATAGCTTTCTAATAAAAAATCCTGCATTTCGTGCATGTTTTAATAAATTTTGCAATATGAGGCAAACTACAATAAATAGGTATGGGAATGTTTATAGATAATTTGTAGAGAATTAAATTCTCTTTCTGATAGGCTAAAAAAATATGTTGCGTTCCATTTAAAATTTTCGACTTTCTCGTCATTGAATATGGATAAACAGTAATTCAATTTTTGACCAGCTTGTGTAAGATACTCCGATACAACAAATAACAATCTATTTGACAACATCTGAAGAGTAATTGTGCCAAAGTAGATCTTTTGTGAATGAACTTTGGCTGAGATATGGAATTTTAAAAAGCATGTTGAAATTAACCAAAAAAAGTTTAAAACCAAAATAACTCGAAAACGAAAAACGCTAGGTACCAATAACTTTTATCAAAGTGAACCTATTTTTTTACGTACAATTAAACTGTGTAATAAAAACTATAGCATTCCATTTAAAATGACGAAGTTATGGTCTACTTCCGGTAGACAGGAAGTGGCGGCCATCTTGAAAATATTTTAGATCGAAAGTTCGGAATGAACAACCCATGCTACCAAAATTTCAAATCTCTACGAATAGTGGAACCTGAAAAAGTTCTAACGAACCAGTTACGTGAGACACCCTGTATTAATAAAACAAAATAAAAAAAAATTTTTATTACAATCAAAACTGATTATAGCTAAATCAAGGTTTCCGGATAGACAAGAACGAGGTGGAGTCGATCAGAATCGCGTTGAAATGGATTCTATAAGCGAATCAGGTAAGATTTTCGTTTGTTAACTTGGATAAGACAATTTGGACACTTCTTTCTTTAACGTACCCATCTCAATCTCCTTCTACGTCTACACAACCCTCCCGGTTTAGGGTGGGATCGCGACCACTTTGTATTCAACTGGCACGCCACCTTCTATTGCCTGCAAAAGGAACCGGGAAGATAAAATTAAATTGGTGATGGCTGCCATAACGTTTTACTGTTACAGTCTTCGAGACCAAACAAATTGGTCGCTTTTATTAAAATCACCTTTAACCTCAATTGGAAAAATTAATTTTCCCCCTTTTCTTTATTTTTAAGATTTTGAGTATGAATACGATGATATAATGTCAAGTAGATCGCCATCGATCAAGAACTTACCTGGAGCGTATAGTGTAGGAAATCGTTGTTTTGAAGTTGGTTGGTCGTCGATGGTAAATTCAGTGTTCCTATTAGTTACCTGTGTCGTCGTCCTTAGGTGATTACTGTACTACAACGGACTCTAATTGAAAATCAACATACCCCCGTGTGTGTTTCGTTACACACGTATAACTGACTAGAATTTGTACATATGTAATTACTTAACGGTTGTAATCTGTTTTAATTTGTAATAATACTTTTCTTGTATGGAAAAATACATAAAATAAAGGGGAAAATTAAAATAATTTAAATAAAATAAAAACTGGGTGCTGATTAGATTAAAATATGTACAAAAAATTAAATAAACAGTTAGCTTTTTTTTAAATCAACACCCAGCGTTATTAATACCGATAATATTTCTACGTTGACTAATGTAGATATTGTATTTCTCTGCCTGTATTAGCCGGTAACCGAAAAAAAAAACGATCGAAGAATCGATTATGTGTCAATATAAAATAAAGAAAAGGTGATATATAAAACGAGTTCGCGCGGTGCAGATTTATTGGTGAAAAAATATTCTAGAAAAATGAATCGCTAAGAAATTAATTATTAAGGAACTATTGTTTTTGAGTATATTTAAAAGATGAAACAATAAAATCGCTAATAAATGCTAATTGCCAAAATGTTGTGTTTCATTTATCCTTATTCAATTTAATCGAAATAAAAAACTAAGAGAAAAAATTAAAATGATTAAAATCGTTAAACTTTTTGAATGGATTAACTGTTCAATGTGGTCATTTATCATTCTCCAACATAAAAATAATAAAGTAAAAGTTTAATAATTTTGAAATTCGATCAATTTGTAAATGGATTAAATTTAATTTTAATGGTAAAGATAAAATTTATTTATAAACTGGAATCCGCACAACGACATTAAACTCACAATTCAGTAAATGGTTGAGTATTTTGTGTGCTAGAATAGCACAACTCGTGGTGAAGTAATTCCAGTAATTCTAGACTAAGGCAAACGTTATCAAGAGACGATAAATTTGTTGATGATTTCTCACGCTTAAGAACAAACAAGAATAAACAGCTTTAAGAAGATTATTCTCTTTAGTTAAATCTGGTCGATTCAAGCAGTCAAAACCAAAAAAATGAGTGTTAAAGAGTTATTCCTAAAAGAGTGTTCCCGAGAGTGATATTCAGAAACATATTTAACAGATGCTATTAACGCAATTCATAATGCTATGGGAATAAGAGAAGCTTCTCGAAATTTTCGGATTCCCAAAACTAGCCTGATAGACAGGCTTAAAGGCAGAATAAAAATGAGGCCTTTGATTATGGGGCTACCTACTATTCTCAGACAAGAAGAGGAAAAAATTATCTTTGTGGCTAAAGCATTTATCCATGACAAGATTGTTCAAATCGGTTCAACACATTGTAAGTACATACAAAAGACGAACACCCTCACAGACGACAAGTCTTGTAAACGACAAAATATTGTCTTTCGGGAGCTTTGTCAAAATCACGTGCAATAATTACAGAGGAAGCAATACGAAAATGGTTCAGAGAATTAAACCACTTCTATTTACGTTCGTCTACTTTGTCAGAAAGTATTAGAAATAGCTTTAAACGATGGAGTCTTTTTTCGCTAGACTCGAGAGATTGGCCGTAGATTTCATAAAATGCGTTCAGAATCGATTAGAAAACACAACATTGAGAGCCATCGGTTCGGTTACCATGGAAGATTTAATACGACAAAGAAGGGTCTTCCTCACTTTATTGAAACCGAAAAATATCGATGCAGATAAAACTAGTGCTGTCCTAGACAATTTATGATAATCACCTCAAATCTAGTGACAGTGGAAACATATGCTATACAGATTGATGAAGCATTAGTAAGATTCATAGAATTTAGTTACGAGGAAGTAAAGTTTATAAATTATAAGTGTTCGCTCTGCTCCTAATTTTGTCATAACAATTCAATCAACTTCTTCAGTAGTGGTTAAGATTCTATTACCTTGTACATTTTTTTAACAACATTATTGCTTGAAAGCTATTGTTAAAGCATAATTATTATTTGAATAAAAGTATCATTTATTTAAGTTATAATTACCAAATAGAGATTACAATTTTATTCGTTGTTTGCTTTCTTCGAATTGATTTATTTGTACGACATTTTCTGTTTCAAGTTTTTTTTCTATCCCAAATTAAACTTTTTTTATTTTCGTTTCAATCCATCCTCTCATCAAATTAAGCTCGTTTCTGTCGAGCGATTTACGACGCCCCTTTGAAAGTTCGTTATTCTCGCAAAATTACTCCCCGGGCAGTCAGTCCAAACGGCAATCGTCGCAGCAGACTCCAAAGACAACACTATACAATTCCATGTCGTAGTTCCAACGACTTTCGACTTTCTCTAAACCATCCTCAAACCATCGCCTAAAACCCAAAACCTAGCGATTTCTCTCTCTCTCTCTTCCAACAGAGCTTCATTAGTAAAGGGACTAGTCCCCATCTTTCTCTTTCACTGATCGAATTGTCTTCTGCCAATACAATTTGCCTTAAATCTTAACGTCTCGACGCAGTGGTCGTCGGCAATAAATGTCACCTGGAGACGCAAAACGAAATGAGAAAACGTCGTAAATTATTGACGGCGGACATAGCACCTCTCTGCGAGATGGATTTCCCAGATCGAAATATTTAATAGATTTTCGAATCTTGTCAATCTACGTTAACTTCTACTACGAGTTTCGGTGGTGTTAACAATGGTAAGGAGGAAGCCCTGTTGAGAGTCGTAACCGAGGCGATTACGGAAATATTATCTATAAATCAAGCCGTTATCTTGATTTATACCGTTGGGAATGTCTGCAAGACTCCTTCTGGAATTGCACGTGATGTTTCTAGCGAGACCCCCGCCCCTTCTTTAATGGTTGTATATCGTAGAGGAATGTTTAAGTGATCCCACGTAAATTATTACTACAAGTCATGGCATATGTTAGTTAAAAGAAATTTTGGAATTAGCTAATTTACTAAAAAAATTAAAAAAATAAAAGTTCCTTTTTGAATATAAAGTAGTCTTTCTTAAGGGGTTGGTACAACTTGTTGATGCACTCCCAACTCCTTGTTCATCTTTCCCCTCACTTCCCTTTTAATATATTCATAAAGTTTAATTGCAGCGAAAACTGGCGACCGTTTCATGGTTTCAAGCCGAGCTCTTTTTCACAATGTCCGTGTTATCGTCGGAGGGCAATTAAGAGGCAAATTATGAAGTCGAGGGGGGTTGTGTCGTTTATGAAGCTTTTTCATCAAGATGAAGGGTTAAAAGAATTATTAGAAAAAGATATTCATACATTCATCGTTATTATATCCTTTGAGATCAAAAAAATTAGGTTGTTTTATATATATATATATTTTTTTTTTTGTAGAGGGGAAAATGGAATTTGGGTTTTAATCGGGTATTAGGGTGAGATTGTTGAATTTTCGAACAAAGCTCTTACCGGGAAACGAAATCGGATCATCTCTAAGATAACGATTGGAGGGGTGGCTTTGATGCTACAGCAAACAAAACTCTACACCTGATCCTTTAACGAGTCATTGTTGGTTCAGTTCTCAAAAATGAATTGGTAAAAGCGACAACAAAAAAATTAGAGAAAATAAATAAAATGAGAGAAAAAATAAATAAAAGGAAAAACAATCAAAAAGCCTAGATGAACAAGAGGCGATAATGTTCCCTGTAAAGTTTTAACGTCGAGTTTCCACGCTTTCAAAGCTATTTCACCACGGATGGGCAACAAAAAAACATTACAAGTTGCCAACAAAATCGATTTTCCACTAACAACCACCTAAAAGCGTTAAACCGAAAAAAAATTTTTTTGAAGTCATCAAACACCTCCTATTCCTCATCGTAAAGGGAAATATTTCACCTTACGTTTCAATACTTCAAGTTCATATTGCACCCCGATTTCACTCCCAATGTACACACCGTAGAGGATATTGCAATTCAGATTCACCCTTCATAAGGCATCTACTACTCGCAGCAGTTTGAATTTCCGTAGGAGGAAAAGCTGGGTCTTCGAGGGAAAGTTCAAGGTTAGCCGGTACCTTTAAAATTACACCTACCTAAAACGTTTCACCTGCAAGACCCGGTGTAGTCGATGGGGTACTTTTCTATAGTATATAGTAGAGGGAGTAGCCCGCGTGCAGTTCTTTTTCCGGACAGGATCAATATGCACTCAAGCGTATCAAGAGCACCTTCCATATATAAGCGAAAACAATGACGGTCTATATTTATTTCGATAAAAAACGGGCAAGCTACTCGATAGGGTCTCTATTGTTAACTTTACAAATACAAAATGTAGTCGATTTTGATGAAGATTACTTTTAAATAGTGTTTTTAATACATGTTCAAAAATTCTTTTTTTATTGAAGGAAAATGTATTATGTAGAATTAATAATTATCACAAATAATGATAAGTTCCTGTTGGTAACAGTGAAAAATATTATGTTGGTAGCAAAAAGTAATTGATTTGACAAGTGACATTAAGTAAGAGATCTGAAGTGTGTAATCGATAAAAGTAACCGTTATTATAATTATAGTCGTTAGTTAGAAGCCTAAAGTTAAACATTCTGTGTAACAGTTTTTCAAAAGTAATAATAAGGGTGGATTTTGTGATAGATTTCAAAGCGCAAATCGAGAAATTACAGAGGTTCGAGAATTGGACGAAGTGGCGTCTGCAAAAAGAACTCTTATTACGTCACCATGACGTGTTGAATCTTGTTAAAGGAACCCTGGTACTTTCTGATAAAGATAAGGGCGACACAAATAAAGAAAAAATCTTGAAAAAGAGATTCATTGACTCAGCTGATTATAATAAATAGCGAATATAGATTTAACAGCAACATGTAAAACTAGTACAGAAATCTGGAATAAACTGGTTAGTTGTTATGAACAAAGTTCTGCACAAAGGTTAGATAGATTGTTTGAGCAATTTTTTGCTGCCGATAAAAACAATTCCGATAGAGTTATAAATCAAATTGCATAGTTAGAGAAAAATTTTAATAAAATAAAAGATGAACTACAAAGATTAGTTAAAACGGAACTACCAGAAGTACTTTTGATGAGTAGAATATTATCAACCCTTCCGAATGAATATTTTGAATTCAAAAGTGTATGGGAATCAATCCCTTTGGATGAGAGAACAGTAAACAAATTAGTTTACCGGAGAATAAACCAATTCATTCTGCAAAAATAAAAAGAAATCAAAGTTGGAAAGAGAAGAATGATAAA